CACTGACTGGCGGATAGAGAAGACCTATCTCTACCTCTGCTATGTCTAAGAGAGGAGGCAGAGGGGCAGCAGGGCCAAGTGGCAGATGACTGGGCAAAAAAAAATCCCACCAAACCCGCAGCATCCATGGCCTTGTTTGTTTTCAGTTCTCATTCGTTTCTTCTCGCCGGAAGGATCCTGCAGCTCATGCCGGACCGAGGGACACACCGGCCCCTTCTCCAGCCCCATCCACACTGCTGTCCCAGCTGCTCACGCGCCTGCTGCCCTTTCACCCTTGCTGCAGGGCAGATTTCACCCTCTGAACCCCCAGCCAGGCCCGCCGTCACCCTTGGCATTGGCCACTGGTGCTGCTGGGAAGACCATGTAGGAAAGAGGCGCTTCCCTGAAAGCGTGTGCACAGCTAGTGCTCTGGGAAGGCTTTCATTCCTGGTGTCCTGTCACTGCATAGGCCCTGCCGTGGATGCCCTGCAGAGGCCCTGAGCTCCCATGTGGGCTTGGGCCCCATTCTGGCAGGTTCTCGTGCTCCCAGGCTGCAGCATCGCAGGCAGGAGAGCACAGTGCCCTGTGAGCCACAAGTGCTTTGGCAGGAGTGTCCTGGGGGCATCCTGGCCAGAGGAGGGTGTTTGGGACACGGAGCCAGCTGGAGCCAGGCTGCCTTGAGGTGTTGCCTGGTGTCCAGGTGGGCTCAGGGGCACAGGATGCTGCTGCTTTCCCCATGACCAAAGACGTCTCTATGCATTTCTCCCTCCTTCCCTGCCTTCCCGGGGCAAGGGTGAAGCCCCTCATGGGGAGATGCAGTTGGTTTGGTGATATGCAGTCAGTGCCAGTGTTGGAGCTGTTAGTGTGTGGCGTCACTCCGAATGCAGGGATCCTCTTTTCTTCTGCTGATTTGGGGCACCTGGAAGGTGCCAAGTGTGGGTTTTTTTGCCCAGCCCTCAGCCACAGGAGCCCACAAGTAAGGGGTGCCCCGTGGCAGGCGGCTTTGCTCGCCGCTTTTTTTGCTTTTTGTTTGGGTTTTTTTGAACTTTCTTTTGGAATATTTCCGCATTTAGCACATTTTACTTGAAATTACCTCATTTTTTTGTGACCTCATGAGCTTTTATTGATTTGGGAGGGACAGGGGTTGGCATGGCTGGGGTGCACCAGCCACGTGCCCAGCATTGGTGGTGGAGAGGTGGTGGGGCACTGGTGTCCCTGCCAGCCTCCTGTTGTGCATTATCCTTACCAAAACTGGTATTTTTTGCCTGGCCCCATGGGGCTGGGGGTGTTGGTTCTGAAGCTACCTCTTGTGTTTGTTTTTGTTGTGTTTCTCCTGCGCAGCCGCGGGCTTGGTGGTTCCATCCCACGGTTCTTTTTTTGTCATTTTGCTGCGTTTGGGTGAAAAGGGGGGAAAAGGAGCTGTGGGTGGGGGTGGTGGGACAGTGTCTGGATAGTTTGGAGGGACACTGATGGCCCCTCTGTGTTTGGGGTGCCCTTCCCACCTCTCCTGGTGCCAAGCAGGGACAGGGCTGTGGGAGCAGCGTCCTGCCTGGCGCCCCAGTCCGGCTTTGCACGTGCGCGTGCCCCTGCGCGTGGGACAGCCGCTGCTCTGCGCAGGGAGGGCACCGCTGCTGTACAATCCGGGATGTGACTGTGGAGAACGGCTCGTTTCATTGTTGTGCCTAAGAAAAAAACAGGAAAAATATTTAAAAAAAAAAAGAAAACAGTTCTTTCACACAGAAAGTTGCTGCAATTTCTGGCGTGTGCATGGCAGGTCCCCGTGGTGTCCTGGCGCTGCCAGACACGGGTGCCATGGTGCCATGGAGCACGTGGCCAAGCTCATGTGGCTTTTTTTTTGCTTTAACTCCCCTTCCATCCCACCATCCCTCTCCCTCAGAGACACAGCCCCCACTGCAACAGTGTTGGGGTCAGCATTGGAGTGATGCTGCTGTATCCCGGGCGCACGTCCCCGCACCGTTGGCTGTGGCGCAGCCCCTGCCACCCCTCCATATATATATATGTAAGTATATATATGTGTATCATAGCAGTGAGGACCAAGCGCCGCACGGGGCCCCGTGGTCCCGGGCTCCCTCTCCCCTGGCTTGGTGTCAGTGTCGTGAGCGCCCGCCTGCCCGTCCCGTTGCTCTGTGTTTTCGCTCGTGGTTCGGGTCCGTCGCTGTCCTCGTTCCGTCTACCTCAGCACCTCTCTGAGCCCGGGCGCAGAAGGTGCCCAAGTTCCCCTTTGGTTTTCTCAGAGTATCTATTGGCTCCTATTTTTTGTACGACTTTTCCTGTCTCACCGTTTGCTCCCCTGCGGTTCTGCTTGCAAGTCCTCTTTCTGTCCTCTAGCCACAGATGCCGTTAGCTAAAAGTTTCCTGAAAAATAAAGAAAAAGAAAAAAAAAAAAAAAAAACAGTTGTGGTGTCTCCTAGTTGCAGCTCTCCGCATCTGCCTTCGTCCTGTGTAGATTCAGATGCATTTCTTTGTAAGACTTCAGTGTTTCTGACAGAGGAAAAAAAAAAGACAAAAAAAAAAAGAAGAATATACTGCTGCAGGTTTTTTTCTCTCCATGTGTCACTAAGTGAAGTTCGTGCCTTCTATAGCAAAGAGAATATTTTTTACATCCTACTAACGGTAGATTTTTTTGTAGTGAACATTTTTTGTATTTTTATTTATAAGTCTCATAAGGAAAATAGCAATGTTCAGTTGTATACCTTGAATCTGCAGTTAGAAAACAAAAGAACAACCAATAAAGTTAATTCTGTTGTCTCAGCCTGCTGTCTCCCATTCCTGTGCCCATCAAGAGGAGGAGGAGGAGGAGGAGGAATAGGAGGAGGTGGAGGAAAGATGCATCCCACCAGCTTGGGGTGAGCCATGGGGGTGCCCACAGTGGTGAGTTTGGGGGTGCCTGCTCTGAGGGGGAAATTGAGGAGGTCCTATCCCTAAACCAACCCCAGTGGGCCGGGGGTCTCCCTGGAACGTCAGTGTCCCCGTGGGCAGGGAGCATCCCCAGCGCGCTGCCTGTGCTGCTGCCTGCCCATGCGGCTCGCCAGGGAGCAGAGCAAGTTTGCCTCAATGAAAGTGAACGCGTTCATTTAAACCTGCCTGCAGAGCCGTCCGGCCCCCCGCTGCGTTAATTATCCTGTAGTTCCCGACTGATTGCTGTACACTAAGCTTAAGCCCTCCTTTATTTATTTACTGACTACATTAACGGCAGCGCCTGCTCTCCTTTTGTGCCGTGGCAAACCGCGCAGCCCCGCACGCTGCCGCCGGCCCGAGCCAGCGCTGCCAGCTCCGCCCGGCCCTGCCTGTGCCCAACACCGCCGTCTACCTCATGATGCCCTCAGACATTGCTTACAGCGCAGCTGGAGTCACCAAGGGCAGAGCAGCACTGAGTTTTCCCGGGGATGGTGGCATGTGCCAGTGTCCTGCCCCAGCGTTTCCCAGCAGGTTTGAGGCGCCACGTGTCCATTCCAGGGTCCTGATGGTGTTCCTGCCTCCCCCAGTCCCCCCAGCGCAGCCTCCCAGGAGGGCTTTGGGCAAGTGGTGGGGAACTTTGGTCCAGGTTAGGGCAAGCAGAGGCGGTCCTGCCGTGAGGAACCTGCGGGCTGCAGCGCCCCATGGGAAGGGAGGCAAAGCCCGGCCTGGCACAAAGGCGTTGTTACAACAACGGGGAAATCGCGGCAGGACCGGGCCTTTGTGTGCACACTCGCACAGCAGCTGGGAGCGATTATGCTGCAACAATGTTCTGTTCCATCAACATTATGTCCTCATTAAACCTTTATTAGGAGATTAGATTCAGATTTATTGATTTTTTTTTTTAAAGAGGAAAATCCAGGCTTCTCTCAGATGCCTGGAACTTTTTCCCACATGCAGCACTTCCCAAAGTAGCAAGAGGGCAAGGGGAGAATCAATCTTTCCTCCAGGACAGGCAGCCTCTCCTTCCAGGGAAAAGGACTGCTTCTTGAGGGGGTTAGGTTGGGTGCATGATGGCTTCCTAGCACAGGGAGGACGAGGACCAAAACATTCAATGGGATACAGGGATACAGCAGCACAGATGAGCATCTTGCAGTGCAGCCTTGGGGGGCATCGGGGTCACGGTGGGCAGGAGAGAGATGGCAAGGCTGGCTGAGGAGTCTTGCTGCCCAGTACCCTCGTCAAACACATGGGCTGGGTGGCATCGCACACCCGGGTCAATGGCCCCATTGGATTTGTCTGTTGGAGCGTTTGATGTTACACGAAGGCAGCTCATTCCAGAGGGTGTTAATTGCCCGCTGCACTGATCAGGTCTGTAGCACCATCGATCTCGGCAGGATCAATGGGCTGATTTAGTGTCTCACGAACTCTTTAACTGGACACCTCATCAATAGGCAGCCACTTACAGACCATCAGCGCATTAGTGCGGCCGGCGCTGGCAGGAGCCCGCTCCACCCGTCCTCAGCCCCCGTCACTCAGGGGTGAGTTTTCCTGCAGGTGATGGCTCTGAGATGGTGAGTGGCAGTCTTGCTCTGGGGCTGGAGGATTTGAGGGCAGACGTAGGAGAGCCAGGTGATGTCAACCCACCTGTCCCCCATCACCTGCATATGCAGGATGCTCCTAGAACGTGGGATGGGCCCTTATGGTATCTGCGGCGCTTCTCGCCTTGTGTCTCTGTCCTTGCAGGGGCAGATGGCAGCGGGAGCTGGGACCAGCTGTGATGGCAGTTCTGCCCCCGCATCTCTCCCCGTACCGCGTGCTCACGGAGCCAGTCCCGTTGCCATCCGGGTTTGGCCGCGGCCGGACGCGGGGTCTCTCCCACTTTGCTGAAACTGCTGAGCAAAAGCATGGGGGATCTGCTGGGCAGGCGTGCCCGGGGGCCGGGGGTGCGATATAAAGGCAGCAGCCGGGGTGAGGGGTAGGGCAGCCGAGGGCAGCGGGACCCCTGGGGCGGTGGGCATCCCCCGAAGCAGGGGGGACCCCGGGCGGGAGGCGGCGGGGCCGGGCTGCGGGGCCGCTGTCCGCGGTGCTGAAGCCGCGGCCGGGCCGGGCCGGAGGCGCTCCCGGGGCCGGCAGGGGAAGCGCGGAGAGAGGTTTGGGCAGGGTCACGGGGTCCTGGGGGCTCCCGCTCAGCTCCGCCTTCCCGCTGCGGAGCTGAGGGACGTGAGGGATGCGCCCGCCTGGGTCGACAGACACTGGCGAGTCCCAGAGCCAGGGAGAACCCGCCAGAGCGAGGTCCCCCATCTCCCGCCCTGAGCAACGGGCGCTGCTCAGGCATCCCTCCACACCGACCAGAGGGTGCCCAGCGTGATGCTGTAAGCCAGGACGGCCGCCAGGTACACGCGGAACAGCAGCACATCCAGCACGTAGCCCACTTGCAGCCAGTCCCGGGCGAGGTCGCGGAACTCCTCCCGTTTCTCCAGGAGCTGGCGGATTGCCGTGGTCTCACGCAGGACCTCCTGCAGGGCTGCTGAGCCCTCGGGCCGGCCAGCAAAGGCCGGAGCAGGCCTCGTGCCCCCCCCTGCCCCGCACTCCCGGGGGTCCTCACAGACACAGGGCGTCGGCTTGGCTGAGGGATCAAGAGAAGCAAATGTGAAAAATCAGTTTGGACAGGGAACTGGGGGCTGTGAGGGTGAACGAGGCACACAGTTCACCATACAAAGAATGGCTATGTAGGTGTAGATGGCCACAGAGCACCTAGACTCCTTCAGTTCCCACGGGCCCTCTCTGTGCCACCCTTACCTGTGCTGTCATTGTTCTCCACCTGCCTGGACGTGTCCAAGGTTTGCATCCTGCTTTGGCTGAATTTCTTCCTGTCCCGGATACAGAGCAGGATGGTGGCTCGTTCCAGCAGCAGGTGTTTCAGCCACTCAGGGACGTGGGGCTGCAGGTCTTGCTTGTGTACCAGGCACACAATCAGGATGGTCTCTGTCAGGCTGATGACGAGCAGTGCCATGCACACCACAAAGTAGATGCCTGCAGAGACACCGGTGAGGTGAGTGACCTGCAAAGGCTCGTGCACAGAGCCAATCCTCCCTGCTCAAGTCTCAGGGCCCTGTGGTCTCTGCCCACGACTGCCGTGGCAGGTGGACAGGAGAAGCACCCTACCTATCAACGGAGTGCCGACGGCAGTGGCTGGCAATGTGTCGGATACAATAATGAGGAAAACCGAGTAGCCCAGCAGGAGAGTGATCTTGAAAGAGACCCTCTCCCCACTGTGGGGAGGTAGGTAGAAGCCCACAATGTCCATAACCATCAGGAAGATGCTGGGGAGCAGCAGGCTGACGGTGTAGAAGAGGGGGCGTCTCCGGATCACTACCTGCAGGACAGAGACACAAAAGGCTGGGAAGGGTCGCAATGAGCCTTCAGCTGCTGCGGCTCTTTGCCAAGGAAAGCGAGGATGGTGGGGGGCACTAAGGTGAGCCAGAGGAAGGGCTCACTAGCAGGAGCCTCCCACCTGCAGGCAGGAGCAGCAGCACAGAGCAGAGACAGGGACGGGGCAGGTCCCTCCCCTCGTGCCACATCCCCGAGAAACGCGGTGGCCAAAGGCTCTTACATAGAACTTCATCTCGGCATAGCTGTCACTGCTCTTGACGCTGAACTCCTGGAAGTGACTGAGCACGTAGAGCAGCTCCCACTCGCCCTGGTTCATGAAGACGCTCCGGTCGAACTTGACGAGCTCGGGCTGGCGCCACAGCGAGAGGTTGATATCGCGAACTGGGGGGCGGAGGAGAGGCGAGAACTGGGGGTACCCGCCCAGAGCGCGGGCAGCTGCCGGCACCTGCACCCGACTGCCCGCCTTGCGCGCTTCCCCGATCCGCTGGGGCCATCTAGAGGGACGAGCCGCCTGTGCACGGAGCTCCGGAGCTCCCCCCGCTCCCCGGGACCCGAGCCCGCGGCCCGGCACTCACTGTGGTGCAGCCAGCTGGTGAAGGTGAGGGAGCAGTTCTGCACGTCGAAGGGGAAGTTGTAGATGTCCAGGCTGCAGGCTGTCATCACCTGGATGGGTTTCAGGTTCTGCACCTCCCCGCGATGGCTGACGTAAACGTAGGGGACGTGTGGGGACTTTCCAACATCCACGCTGAGGGACACGAGGGACAGAGGTGAGGGCTGGAGAGCGCTCTGGGCAGGGCTTCCTTCTGCCAAGCGGCAGTTCAGGGGGGAACTGCCCACGAGCCAGGGATTTGCCTCCTGTTCTGCTTTTCTGGTCATACCCTTGCAGGCATTTCTGCCTCACGTCACCTCACCAGACTGCTGCCCTCTCCCAGCCCGAGGGGTCCCAGAGCCCTCAGGAGGCACTGGGAGCACCTTAAATCCCCACGGAGTGGGAAGGACACCACACAGCTCCGTGGGAAGGGCCAGCAGCTCTGCAGCTGCCCCGGCATTGTACTGTCTGCACAAAGCCTTTCTCCTGGTATCTGGATCTCACCCCCGGCACAGCGAGGGTAATTACCAATGGTTGCGGTTAGCCAGCATTGGAAATGGCCCAGCTGCAGAGCCAATCCCCATCTGCAGCTCCCGATGTGGGGAGGCTGCCAGCTCTGTGCCAGGAATACAAAGCACGGGAGGGTACGTGCCCACGGTGGGTGAGGAGTTCCAGTCCCAGTGCATCTCCCTCGAGACCCTGGCTGCACTCACAACTCATTGATGAGGATGTCGGGCACCCAGATGCTCTCCACAGGGAGGGAGATCTGCGTCAGGTTGTCGAAGCGAGCTGGGTCCCACTTGAGGAACTCATCTGTCCAGTGCTGGGGACAATGGAGAGGGGACTTGGTGGGCGAGGTCCTGCTGCTCTGCCAGCACCCAGACCCCAGGCCAGCACCAAGCAAGCTTCCCAACCACAGGAGGCAGGGAGGGAAGAATAATCCTTCATTTTGCGCAACACCCAACAGTGCAAAGCAGGGAGCATGAAAGCTGAGCCTTGGGGCTCATGTGCTACAGAGGTCTCGCCAGCCCCCGGGATGTGTTTCCCCCCCTGCTCTCCTGCAGGACTGCACACTTCTCTCACAGGAAAACACGGGGGTTTGGGGGTGCTGGACCCCGAGACGGCCAGCAGGGAAGGGGTGAGGTTTTGTGGCTCCTCACCTGCCTGTACCAGATATAGGTGGTCAGCACCTGGTCCTTCTCATCCTGTGAAGATGGGAACGGTGTCAGAACGGGGCCTGACCCTCCGGAGGATGGGCAGAGCACGCTGGCAGGATGCTGCACGCCAGGTACCCTTCCCCGCCCTGCGCAATGGCAGCAGAGCACTCACCACGCTGAGGATGGCATAGACCATGAGGTCGATGGCCACGGTGGTGGTCGTTCGCCAGTCCCGCACAGGCCGGGTGCCCTTCTGGTAGTGCGCCAGGAGGTGGCGGGAGAGGCGGCGCAGGGCGGGCTCGGGGGGCTCCGGCGTCCCGGCCCCGGCATCTGCCCGGGCACCTGCTGGGCAGAGGGACAAAGGGAGCGAGGGAGGGAGGGAGGGAGGAACGGAGGGACGGAGGGACGGAGGGACGGAGGGAAGCTGCTCCCCCGGGGCAGCAGCCGCCGCCACCCTGAGGTGTGCCATGGCCTGCGGGGTGCTGCCAGCTGCCTGCCCTCACTTACCCCTTGGGGTTTCCCATCCGACTTTAATAGAGCATCCTGATGGGAAACAAGCCTGGACAGCAGAAGCATCACCTAGTACGTTACTGACATCCTGTGCCGTGCAGGTTGTCAGCGCTGTGACCTTCCCCAGCCCCAGGGGGCACAGATGCCAGCCCTCACCTCTCTGGACAAGTGCCAGGACAGCGGCAGCGGGGAACCACGAGGGACACGCTGCCCCCGGGAAAGTTTCATACCATTCACTCCCTCCAGGGACATTTCTTTGCTCAGCAGGTGGAGACGGTGAAGGTTAGAGATGAAGCAGGATGCTAAATTCATTTATTAGGTATCTTGGTGTTTGCTTCCTGTGAAAACAGTCCCTTCACTGGTGCCAGCAGCATCAAGTGAGAGCAAATTGCCTTCAGCACCATGTCCTCACTGCCAGGCACCTGGAACACCACGGCTGGGCCAGGGCAGCAGTGCTACACTTGTGTAGCCACAGCCCCAGAGTCCAATTCCAGCATAATAGAAGAGACTGATTGGAATAGATCTATGGGAACTTGGGGAAAGCGACTGGAAGGGAATTTTAATCTCTATTTTAAGCTAAAAAAAAAAAAAAAAAAAAAAAAAGGGAAAGCAACAGCCTCAGCCCCTCTGACATTGCTCATGAGTGGCGGTGCATGGTGCTCGCCCAGGCAGGCATGAACCAACAGAGGCACTGAGATGGGGGAGAGGCAGCAATTAGGGTGAGGGGAGGAAATGCAGCTGCTGCCATCACCACAGCTCGGGCCAAGTGACCTTCCCTGCTGCAGCTGGTGGCAGCTGGCTCGTGCTTGCACTCCTCCTTGCACCACCCTCTCCTCGCACCCACACCACCCATATCTGCATCAGGATGCTCTGGCAGCAGGGAAATGGCTTTGCAGAGGGAGGACTGGGCTGGGTTCACCTCAGATGCTCTTTGCCTCTGCTCCACACACCATGCTGGTCTGCCCAGCCCAAATCTGTGCCAGGTTGTGCCAGCGACTCACCTGGTGAACCTGGCACGAACCTGGCACAACCCTGGCACAGCCCTAACACATGGGGATCTGTGTGCACAGCCCTTCCTGCCTCCTGGCCAGCACTGCCAGGGTGAGCATATCACTGCTCCCACTCCTTTTCTGCCACCTTAGATGTGTTAACAGTGGGAGAAGGCTTGGGAGTTGGGTGGCAGGAGCTACATGACCTATCCAGAGATTTGAGTCGATAGCCTGCCGAAAACTCAGCTGGGCTGGTGCAAAACAGCTCAAGGATTTTTTGTGCTATTTCCCGGGAACATTAGATGAGAAAATAAAAATGGAATAACAAGGAAATCTGTTGGCTGTCAATTTTGCACAGCACAGAGCTGCAATTGCAAACTATAGGCACAGCATCGTGCCCAAAACCCAGCTCTAGGTTATGAGGAACTAAACCTTATATTGGAGGAAGCCCTTCAGCAGGCAGGGGGCTCAGGCAGCCTCTCTCGGGCAGTGGAGTGCAGGCAGGAGACCCCACGTCCCTCTGTGTCCCCAGGGCAGGTTTTGGGCGCAGCTCCAGAGCACCTCAAGACCCCACAGAGCAGAGCTGGTGCTAAGGCTGCACCACCTCGCTGCCGGTGTTACCCCGGCACCTCCAGGCTCTGAGCAGAGCTCCCCCGTGCCCCAGCCTGCCCCAGCCGTGCCACCTCGCAGCAGCACGAAGGCTTCCCCAAGAGCAGCCCCCGCCCGTCCCTCAGCGCGGCTCAGGGGCTGGGCAGGTGCTGTCCCTGCAGGAGCCCCGGCCCCGCTCAGCCCAGCCCTGCCCCGCTCCCCCGCCTTACCTGGGCTCTGCAGGGTCGCGGCCAGCGGCAGCAGGGCCAGCAGCGCCCCGAGGGCCGCGGGCACCATGGCTCGGCCGAGCGGGAGCGGAGCGGGGACGGGCGGCACTCGCGTGGCTCTGCCCGCGCCGCCGGGCTTTGAGAACGCCCCGTTAATCTCGCGATCAGCCTCTCCCGCTGCATCAAGTTTCAGGCTGGGAGGATAAAATGCTACAGGAGGATGCCAGTGGGGCCCACCCAGCCATCCCCCACCCCCGCCCAGCTCCAAAACAGCTTCCCCGTCCTCTGCCCCGGTGCCTGCTTGTGGCAAGGCGGGGTTTGGGGTACCAGCATCGTGTGCAGCGGGCGCACGATGGGGGAGAGGGCACTGCAGGAGATCCTCAGCAGTTGGAAAGATGGGGAAGCCCTCTGGGAGGCAGGGGAGGGGAGCCTGCCCTGGGATATGCCTCTGACACACGGTGGGTTTCCACCAGCAGGGGAGAGGAGAGCTCTGGAGGTGCCGGGCTCCCCTTCACACCTGCGGCAGGTGGGTCTGTGCCACCGACAGTGGCTCTGGCAGCCGCAGGTGCGGGCAGCATGTGCAGCCAGCCCTTGGCACCCCTGCCTGGGGCAGCAGCTTTCCCCCAACCCCTCCAGTCTGCTCCTACACTGCAGTCCGTTTTCACCACAGAAATTTGCATTTGTTGTAAATTTCAGCAAAAAAGGTTCTTCCTACCGTTTTCAGTTTCCCAAAATATTTAACGCCTTGGGGCAAACAAGACTGGAAGCAAAAGGCCTTGACTGAGTCAAAAGGCCTTCGGTGTCCACCCATGCAGGGGTGCCCTGCTCCGGCTGCACGTCCATCCCTCCGCAGCATCAGAGCCTTGGGCTGGGCAGTGTCCCTCTGCCTGGCAGGGCAGCTTCCCCTCCACCCTAAGCCTCCATAATCTTCTGTATTCCTGTATGCCTACACTGTGCCTGTGTGTGCTGCAGGTGCCTATGCCCCCACAAAGCTGCCAGCTGCTGGAGATCCTGGGGAAGCGGCGGCCAGGGACCAAAGCCTGCGGCAGTGGTGTAGAGCAAATTGCATCAGATGCCGGCATGGAGTCACTTAAACGAGATAAGAATTAGTGCGGGGCCCTGATGAACTCCCCGTTGGCTGCCAACAGCGGTGTCAGGGAGAGAGCGAGAGCAGAGCTGGGGCTAATTTGATTTCTCGGCTCCGTTAGTGGCTGGCAAGTCACCTCCCAGGGAGCGCCGGCAGCTCACAGCGCTCTCCCCTTATTGAATCTGGGTAATGAAAATCACGGGCAGTGCCACCACGGTGCTGGGGCCCGTGCCCCGCTCTGCCCCCTCCCCTGCAGCTCCTGCTCTGCAGCCGGCAGCACCAGGCCGAGGGGCCGCGGACTGCTCCGGTGGAGCCTCTGCTGCAGCATCATTAACTCTGAATTTTCTCCCTCGGGTTTTACATCTTCATCTTAAAGAGATTTTAATGTAGTTCCTATCAGCCCTCCTGTTATTGGATATCTAATTAGTGTGATCTACTGTAGGCTCGTGTTACACACACGCAGGGGGCTCTTGCGGGACGTTCTGTGGGACGGCTGATATCAATCGGCAGCGCCCAGATCAGATTTACTTTCCAAAATAGCATAATGGGATTTTATTAGCCCTGTAATCTGCTGCATGGTAATTGCTTTTCTGGGAACCGAAGCGCTCAGTGCCTGGGGCTTCCCACAGCTCAGCCCTGCATCCTGTCCAGGCCCCACTGCAGCCAGGCATGGCAGCATCCCTGCAGGTTCTGCTGCAGCTGGGCATGGCAGCGTCCCTGCAGGCCCCACTGCAGCCAGGCATGGCAGCATCCCACAGACAGGCATGGCAGCATCCCTGCAGGCCCCACTGCAGCCAGGCGTGGCAGCACCTCTGCAGGCCCCACTGCATCTGGGCATGGCAGCATCCCTGCACTGGATGGATTGGCACTCAGGCCTGTCTCCTGGAGCAGCCATGTTGTGAGCAGGTTTCCTGGCTGGGCAAGCAGGTATTTAGCCCAGCGCAGCAATCTCAGGGGCTGAGGGGAGCACAGGGGCACAAGCACAAGATCCCCACCGTGTGATGGCATAAGTGATGCTCTGCATTCCCTCCTCAGCCCGACCTGAGCGCACCCCAAGTCCTGGGTGCCCAGCATTACGCACTACAGCCCCCTGGCAGCTCCCTCTCCATGCCATGGAGCGTGCTGGGGGCTGTGCAGCCGTGGCAGGAGCGTGGCTGGGCTCTGCACAGGATGGGGGGCCGTACCAGGCTGGGGAGCGCAGTGGGAGCAGGGAGGGACGCCTCCATTGTGGAGCTTGCCGGTGCGGAGCGGGCAGGAGAGGGAAGCAGCTCTCCTCCCGGCTGCCAGCACTCGCCTTTCCGAGCGCGTTTGGAGCGTCACAAACAATAAAGCATCAGCAAGGAGCCCTGGCAGCACGGCTGCCTGACGACCCCGGCCCCATCAGGCGCCCGAGGCCGCCCATTACGGCGGCTCCCGCTGCCCGAATTGCATGTCTGCTGTGATTTAACGCCGCACAGAGACGCGGGATGAGCGCGGCAGGCAGGCAGGGCACGCCGGGCCGCTGCAGCCCCGCTCCACGGGCCCTGCTCCAGGGACAGGGCTCCTGCAGGAGGCCGGGGCTGGCTGGGACCCCTGGTCGCTGCAGAGGGACGGGGGACACACGGGATCTCTGCTCTGGCACTCACCTGGTGCAGCTCCCACACCCAAGCGCAGACCGAACGCTGTGAACAGCTGCTCAGTGTGGTGCCCTTGCCCAATTTAATTTCATTTAGGGACTCTCTTTGCCCCATGGATGCAAACTGCATCCATGGATGGTAGCTTTGCCCCATGGATGCAAACTGCTTGGCCCTCGGAGAAGCCAAAAATCGCCCGTTCCAGCTATCAAGCCCATTCTCACCCAGTGAAGGAGCCCAATGCTTTTAAATCCCCCAGAGAAGGGATGGGAGTGCGTTCCTTTCAAGTCCTCTCTTTCATTAGACACCCTTGAGATGTTTGCAATATTCTGCCAGTTTCATTACCACTAAAGGCAGGCAATAATAAGAACATGAAGGTATTTGGAGCCCATTGCTGTTAATGAAGGAGATCTGCCTGATGCTGAGAGGGACGGCAGCTATGCTCGCAGGCTGAGCCCAATCCCAGGGCATGGAAGGAGAGGGCATGTCTGCAGCTTGCTCTGTCTGACAGTGTACAATCTCCCCCTAGCAAATTATCTTGGATGTAACAGTGCTGTGACTGCACTTAACACTGCAAACAAATTGTTCTACACCCTAGTTAATTATCACAGCATTAATCAGGCTGCTAAACGTTAAACACAGCCTGGACAAACCTGGAGCTAAAAATACGGGTCTGAGTTTATCTTTGTGACAGGGAAATTCAGAATTTTTATGGTTAATAGCTTTTTTAAGGTAGGAAAATCCTGGGGACCCTTACCTAAGCAATGAAGTTTGGGTATAGCACCATTCCCTCTGCAGTGCGTGAGGGTCCCAGAGTGAAAATCACAGTGCCCAGCACTACCTCCCTATCTCTCACTATTAATAGCCTGGCAAGCTCCCAAAATGAGTGGAATTTCTTACTCTGTTGCATTCAAGGATCACTGGTTATCTTGTTTATACTTTGCACATCAGGGAAAGAGGCGAACACCAGCTTCCACTGTTTCACCTTATCTACACTGATACCTCCTCCCTCCCGAATTCCTCATCTGGAGCACCTGTGAGAAGCAGGAAAGCCAGACAATCTCAGAACAGGCCACGCTGAGGTCCCACACCTCTCCCAAAACAAAAGGCAAGGGACAGTCTGTGACTGCCCAGGACAAATCCAATGTGGAGATGCCCACCCAGCTGGGAAAGGGCATTTTCAGGGGAGAATGGGTAACCAGGGTATGGCGGTGGCACTGTCTGACCCTACTGTCCCCCTTCCTCGTGCAGTGCCACAGCTCTGCTGGAAATGCCAATGCCATCAGTGTCGCTGGAGCTTCGGAGCCTGATGGGGATTGCAGCTGACACACTGCTGATGATGCGGGAGGAGTTTCTCACCAGTTTCCCCAAGAGAGCTGAGCCCCGCCGGCTCCTCAGGTGGAGCCAAGCTGCCCAGGTGCCTGAGCCACATCTCGTCAGCTGCACTGCTGATGGCGTGGGGTCTGCACACACACACCCGGATCCTGCACAGCCCCCGGGCCCTCGCCGGGACATCTCCATTTCAGTACCCTTGTATTAAGAGAGAGGTAGAACCCAGGCTGTGTCCAGAACACAGACCCTTTTGGCTCAGCAAATCTGAGAAATGCCTATTTCCTGCTGCTCACCCAGGCCCAAAAAAGCATGGGTTTGGCTGGAGCAGAAAGCAGGTGCCGGATCCTCGTTGTTTTGAGCCTTTTCCTGGCGGTTTTCCCCCGGGGTGCATCCACCCCTGGAGCATCCCAGTCCATCCTCCTCCAGCCCCTGCTCGCAGCCTCCTGCCGGGCAGCACCGGCGGACACCTGCAGCACCTCAACAGGGGAGGGGCCTTTATTACTGTTGTGATTAAAAGAAAATAATTCACTTTTATCAGTATGGAGGGGCGCGGCCAGGGCAGAGCGCCGGCTGGGCCGGTGTTCCCGGCTGCTGGGGTGGGGGGACGGGGGAGAACGGGCTCGGGGCGATGATCGGCGGCTTCTCGGGGGGGAACACGGCCGGACACACGGCCAGGCACACGGACACACGGGCGGACACACGGACACACAGACGGTCACGGCCGGGCACGGGCGGACACACGGACAGACAGACGGGCACGGGCGGGGGCACGGGCGGACACACGGAGGGACGCACGGACGGACACACGGACGCACGGGCGGACACACAGACGGACAAACGGACGCACAGACGGGTACGGACGGACACACGGACGGACACACGGACACACAGACGGGCACGGGCGGACACACAGACGGACAAACGGACACACAGACGGGTACGGACGGACACACGGACGGACAGACGGGCACGAGCGGGGGCACGGACGGACACACGGACACACAGACGGGCACGGGCGGACACACAGACGGACAAACGGACACACAGACGGGTACGGACGGACACACGGACAGACAGACGGGCACGGGCGGGGGCACGGGCGAACACACGGAGGGACGCACGGACGGACACACGGACGCACGGGCGGACACACAGACGGACAAACGGACGCACAGACGGGTACGGACGGACACACGGACGGACACACGGACACACAGACGGGCACGGGCGGACACACAGACGGACAAACGGACACACAGACGGGTACGGACGGACACACGGACGGACAGACGGGCACGAGCGGGGGCACGGACGGACACACGGACGGACACACGGACACACAGACGGGCACGGGCGGGGGCACGGACGGACACACGGACGGACACACGGACACACAGACGGGCACGGGCGGCCGCGGCCCCGGCGGGCGGCGCGGCCGGAACCGGAGCGGCCGCGCGTGCGCTGTGCGGACGGCGCCGCTGCCGGCGGCCCCATGACGGCCGAGCTGCGGGCCCGGGGCGGCGGCGGCGAGGTGAGCCGGCGGGGCGAGCCCGCGGGGCGGGCGGGGGTGCCGGGGGCGCTGGGGCGGGGAGCGGCGGGGCGAGCCCCGGCAGGGCGAGGAGGGCGGCGGGCGGCGCCCCCCGCGCGGGCCGGAGCCGCCGCCGACCGAGCCTCGCAGCGCGGCGGCCCCGCTGCGCCCCGAGCCCGCGGCCCGCGGCCGCTCGGGGCCGGCCCGCAGCGCTTCCCCGCTCTGCGCGCTCCCGGAGCCCGCCCCGTCGGGTTTCGTTGGGAATAACGGGCTCCGCGCGGCGCCGCGCGATGCGCCGGTACCACGGGAAAGGGCTCGGGCGGGCGCTCAGACACCCTCCGCTCTGCGGGGAGCAGGAACGCGTGTGCCCTCCCCGCCGCCGAGCAGCACCTCGGGGGCAAGGCAGCGAAAACTGTTGCTCCAAACTTGAGGGCTCTGCGTAAATCGGCTCTGAAGGGACCCGGACCCGGACGCGAGGCTGTGTCAGTGCTCAGGGGACTGAAGCCCGGACCATCCCGAATTGACACAGGGCTCTGCGCTGTCCTGTAGCATCTCGGTGCTCTTAGGACCCAAGAGATGCGGTTCAGAGAGGTCAGAGTTACGGGGTGGGATGGGATGGGGGTATCAGCCCTTTGGTTGTGCGTTAGAAGTGGCATTAGTGCAGCAGCCGTGCCCCGCTCTGGTGGGCACAGGGACCGGACCGTGCCCTCTGTGTGCATCTTGCACACGTTAATGCAGTCCGGGGTTGCTGCCTGCTGCTTCTTGTTGTGGCGGATATTGGTTTGTGAAAGCCTTGGCCGGGAACGTGGGCTTTGTTCCTGCTGCTGCCCGTGGGCTTCCAGCCCTCTCCGTATCCATTCTCCCTCACGATAAAAGTGTGGCTGAGGAGCAGAGGCTGAAGGCCAAGGCTGCAGCCTTCCTCCTCCTTGTGGGTGCTTATTTCTGGAACCCCCTTGAACTCTTGCACTGCATTTGCTCCTTTCCCTTTTCACAGTTTCTCATCAAAACAAACTTCTGAGGGCGGTGAGTCACCTCAGAGCAGGAAAATGGCAAAACCTTTCTATTCCATCATTCTTGGCTGACCTTGTAATTTTATCTCTAGTACCCTCCTTCCTCTCAGCCTCTTGGTTTTGTACTCATCTCTTGTTGCTGTAATTTAATACTAATAGGATTTGGGTTTGGGTTGTTATTTTTCCAGCAGGTAGGGCTTTGGTTCAGTTTGGGTTTGCAAGTGCAGGGTGTGTTAGCAGTGGCAGCACACTGGTGTTAATTACCAGCTACAGAGCTTGTTTTGTAGCCCCATGGCGTGTAACCTCAGAAAGCAATAACCAGACTAGTTATGGCAACAAAACCACGCACAATCCCCAAAATCTTAACAAATTGGTTGCACAAAGAGTGGTTCCTGGTGGCTTCTGTGGGCTGCCAGGCTGCCATAACCCTCTCGAAAGTGGTACAGGATAAGCTCTCTGCTGTTAGCACAAACCTTTCCTCAAAGGCTGAATAAAAGCACACAGAAATCATTGAAATATTAAATGGTAACGTAGAGCAGAGGATCAGTAATTGGCTTTTATGCTTACAGCAGCCTTTGTGAGTTCTCTGTGTGGTGGAGCAGAAAAACCACAGAAAATCATGCCCTGTCCTGCCTCAGGTTTCATTATTATAATGCAGTGTATTAGCAAGGGTGTTTGCGGGGCTTTTTCTCCACTGGAAAAATCTGCCCTGCGGCGCAAGGTGGGGTCAGCCGACATGCACGGCACGCGCTAAGGCAGCAAAATTAGCAACATGATTTAAGTGGTTTGCCTTTGTGGGAGTATGCCTGCCCCCAGCCTCTCAGCCTTGGCTCCTCATCAGGCAGCTCCTCCTGGGGCTTCTGAAGTGTTCCAGGCTGTCTTGACTTTTCTCAGGATAAAGAGCACATGGAGTTAAGGGGGGGTTGCACACACATGTGTGCTCTTTCTTGTAGAAGTTGAGCAAAAGTAGTGTTTTAAAAGGGACAGAGAATTGCCACCAGAATAGGAGTTTTTTGTTTGAATAGCTAACACAGGTGTGTGCTGTCTTTGTGTGTGGAGTCTCATCCATGACCAGTATGGGTGGGGGGCTCAAATAGTAGTTGACTCATTACTCACTGGGTGGAACTTGTGTTCCAGTGGCCTGGAAGCATCTTAATTTTTTTTTTCAATGGTGAGAGTAAGTAGAAACTTGAGTTCATTTGCCTGCAGCTTTGCTGGTTAAGATTAAGTAAAAGTGTGACCTTAAGGAACTGGGATTGATCAGGCTGTGCTGACTGCAGGATCCTCTACAGCCTCTGTAAATCAGGATACAGACCCAGCAGTTGCTCCTGCTGTAGTGTTTTTCCCATACCACACGCAATGCCAGCGTTATGGAGCTGCATCTCAGCTGTCACCCAGAGTGAGCCTTTGGCAGCAGCATCGGCTGAACTGCAGCCATGGACAGGGCTGGTGGGACCCCGGTGCTGGGAGGCTCCTTGTGGAGAGGTGCCTCTCCTAGCAGTCATTGACCGAGGTTATTTGTGCTTGCCATGTGCAGTGACCACCCTGTGGTAAGCCTAGGCTGCAAAGCTTTTACAAGTCTGGTAAAGAGAGGGTCTGTAATCATTTGTTTTAAGTGGCCGAACCAACCATAGCATGGGGCCTTGAGCAGCAAGTGTCTCCCCAAACCTCAAGTGGTCTGCGTGGAGTGGGAAGGAGGAGCATGACAGGCTCCTGGGCCCTTGCTCTGACACCTTATTGTCAGTAAGAAGTGACATGCACAAATGGCATGTGCCACCGCACTGAAAATAGCTGCTGACCGTGCCCTGGGAGCAGGCGGCCGCCTTATATGTCCTGCTGCACATGCCGCTGCCTCGGGGGTGGGCAGCCCTTCCCTCCACAGGTGCTCACATCCCACAGCGAGGGGGGCCTGGCCCCCCGGGCCTGCCTGCGTTCTCCTGAGGATACGAGGGGTTGGGTGTCAGTGTGTGAATTTAGCAGGGAAAACCCTGAGTGCGATGTTCAAGCTGATGTTGCTGTTTGCATTAAGCAAGTGTGACTGGGCTTGAGTGTCAGTGTGTCAGCAGAAAGGAAGGAAAGAAGCAGTGCTCTGCTGGGCCCTCAGCAAGCCTTGCAGAAACAGCTTGATGTCCATCCTGGTCACCTTTTCACATAAGCTGACTTTATTTCTTGCACATAGGATTGCCAGGTGCTCCTAAATCAGATGAAAGAGATCACAGGAATTCAGGATTCAGCATTCCTGCTTGCTGCTCTAAAGGTTGGTGTATATTGCCATAGTTTTGGGGAAAGAGAGCTCTGATTTTGTCCAAAAAGTCAGGCAAGTTTGGGCTCCCACCCAGCATAGCACACAGGTGTTTGCTGGTGTGTTTGCCAGCTGATGATGGGCTGGTCCTTGTTAGAATGGTCCATGTGTGGCTTGTGAGAGTGATAAAGGATCAGCCTGGGTGCATGAGAGGCAAAGGGTAAATCCTTTGCTGTTCTTCTCCTCACTGGTGCTTTGCTTTCCCCTCTCATTGTGCCAGGCTGCTGATGGAGATCTCATGGAAGCAGTCACCTTCCTGACAGAGGACCCTGCTCCAGAGCCGGTGCAGAGCCCAGCTGCTGCAGAGCCATCCGCCTGGGAAGGGAGTGTGGTGGGCAAACAGCTCCCACAGGGTAAGCCTCACCTCTGCTCCCTCCTGCAGCTTCATGTGTGAGCTCGAAGGGGAAATATCCATCCTCCCTGCTTCTGCCAGCAGCACATCCCTCCAGCTTCTGTTCTGGTGCATGTTTTGCCAGTACTGATCACTTAGTAGTGTTTTAATAATGTTTGGAGGTGACACATCACAGTTAAAAAGCTGATGATCCTGTCTCTCTATTTCAAGAGCTCTGAACTGTTTCCTTAAGCTCTGAATTTAGCTGTAAGGAAATCTGGGTAGTGCACAGCTGCATGCTTTGCCCTGTTCTCCTCATCCAGCTCACTCAGTGGCTCCTAGGCTGCCTGGCATGGTCTGAACAGGGATTTCTGCTTAAAACCTGAACTAGTACAAACTTTGCTTGTATTGGTTGAAGAGCCGTGTTTGTGAAGTATGATGTTTTCTAGAATTTTCTCTTAAAGAGAATGTTTGCTGCTGTTGGTGGAAAACTGATCAGAATGCTGCCTCTACTTCTAGATGTTGGTGCTGCTCCTGCCCCTCACAACCAAGACAGCCTCCGCGCGGCCAACACTGTCAGACCACTGGAATCACCCAAAGCCTCAGCTGCAGAAAGGGATGCAGCTGAAAGGTCAGTGGAGCTGTCAGACCCCCGCTTTGGCTTTCCAGGTATCAGTGGGTTCTGAGACTGCTGACTGGAGAACTAGCATGGATCACCTGCCAGGTGGACACCTACTGGCTGGAGGGGAGCTTGACTGCTGTAGCTTTTACAGCACAGTGTTTCTCTCTTGTGACAGACCACAGGATGCCCATTCTGCTGAAAACAAAAACCGCTCCAAAAGGAAACGCTGCGAAGTCTGGGGAGAGAGCCCCAAGCAGAGTGACTGGAGAAGAGCGGGTGACTGGCCTGTCGGAATGAAGAACATAGGAAATACGTGTTGGTTTAGTGCTGTTATACAGGTAATCAGCAAAAAAAGTTCTCTGATCTCAAACTTGCTATGGTCTTGGAGTCAGAGTGTTTCTCAGTTAGAAGTAAACATGCAGCAGTTCTGTGGGGGAGTCATCGTATGCAGATGAGTGAACGTGACCCTGCTCACACACAGAAACTTCTGTGTTTATGTGATGTGCCTGTACAGAAAGAGCCAAAGAGCAGTTAAATAGGCTTTACTTAAAAATAGCTACAGATACAGAGAATCTGTGTGTCTGTATGGAGGGAGTTGTGCAGTGATGGCCAAGTGCCTGCTGAAATGATAGAAGCTTGCCTGGCAAAGTGAACTGGTAATTTAATTTTACTGCAGTTATTGTTGGCTCGATAACACATGGTGTATCATATTTCAGTTAATGGAATACACTGGCATAGATGCTTGGACAAATAAACAACTAGGCAGCATATATTATTAGTAATGATCTGAAGAAGAGACAATAGTAAGTGGAACTGAGCAGATTTGTCTCTCCTAACCATTTCACATCAGCAGAGAGATGTTAATCATTTGTCTTCAGCTCTGAGAGGAAGCAAGAAAGCTGCAAATGGGTTCTTCTCACCATGGCTTCTTCTTGGATGCTTTTCTGAGCCTGCCTGTGCAGAATAGAATGGTTTTCCTGAAAGGTTTATATCTATCCTAGAAATGGCAGGATGAGATTTCGCCCTTTGGGTGGGTACAAACATGCTGATGATCTCAAAGGTCTGTTCCAGCCCAGTTAATTCCATTATTCTGATTCTGTGCTGGTCCAGCAAGGGGCTGCTCACACTGTAAACATGCATTCAGTAACACGGGACCATTGGGAATGTGAAGTTACAAAAGAAACCTGTCAAGTCAGAGTGAAAACAGGGCATCAGATTGCAGTGAGTGCAGTCCTTGCAGATGCTGACCAAGCTTTACCTCTCCTGTCCTTTCAGTCTCTGTTCCAGTTGCCAGATTTCCGGAGGCTGGTCCTTGGCTACTCCCTCCCACAGAATGTGCTTGAAAGTTGTCGTAGTCACACTGTAAGTTTTGATTCAGTAACACTGTCAAGTTTCCCTCTTTTGTGGTGTAGCATTCTGCTCTTTCTCTAACCAGATTTAATTTGGGGCTGAGACCTGTGGCTTTAAAATCATCTGGCTGTGTTTAAGATAAATTTAGGAAATTCTCAAAGACAGAATCAGATTAGGAAAAAAAAAGGGTTGCTTCTTGTATCTCTGTTCTATAGAGCCTTTAACTGCTGTGTGGGGAGATGTTTTTCCTATAAAACTTCTTTGGCAGTTCCAGATGACTCCTTGGTTTGCATGCATAGTAGAAGAAGTGGTATTTGAGCCAGTGTGCAGCTGGTTGTGTACCTTTTACTATATGTGCCTGTGGTGTTCAGTGGTGCTGTGTTTTAAGATTATGCTTTTTAGAGCTGCAGGAAGGCTTTGACTTTTCTCATTTTTGCAATGCAGGGAAAAAGAAATATTGCATTCATGCAAGAACTTCAGTGTCTGTTTGCATTAATGCTGGGGACGTGGCGTAAGTTTGTAGACCCTTCTGCAGCACTGGAACTCTTGAGGGACGTGTTTAGATCAGCTGAACAACCACAGGTAAAACCATGTTGAAAATCCTTTAGCTCTCTTCAAGCCAGCAGTCACAGCCACGGCACCCCCATTTTGCCTCACCCTGCTGGTGCTTTCAGAGGCCTTTTCCCATGTTTGTCAGCCGACAAGCAGCTGTCCCTGTGTCATTAGAGCAGAATGTACACGCATGCTAATTACCCAGCCAGCGTAGCATGGCACTACCCAGCGCCATCTGCGTAGTCGGGGAGCGATCACGATAATTTCCTCTGATCTAGTGTTCAGATAAGCAGAGTTCATTATCAGTCTAAATCAGCTCAGCACTTGAGTCTTTGGTAGCTCAGCTGAGTGGGGGCGACTGTACCAGCCAGGTTGTGTCAGTGCTCAGCAGACTGGGGGAACCCCTTCTGGTGGGTGTCACCACTGACCCTCCACTCTCATCTCTCTCGCAGCAAGACGTGAGTGAGTTTACACACAAACTACTGGACTGGCTGGAGGATGCATTCCAGCTCACTGTGAATGTCACGTGAGTGCTGTGTGTTCTCGGGAGTCTGGCCTAAGGAGGCTTTTAATGAGTTGGAGGACTTTATGTGACAATTTTGAGCAAATGAGTGTTCTTTGTTTCCTGTGGATGAGGCTTACTCAGCTTGAAACGTTATGTCTGCATCTCCTGTTTGTGAGTGTGGGACTTCACTCAGTGCCAATATGGCCTGCAGAGTAAATGAGCTTTTGAGGGAGCTCAGCAGCCCTGGTGAACAGAAAAGCTCTGGTAGTTTGAAACTTTCTTTCAGAAGCTGGCACCTTAACCTTTTTTTTCCCCCTCTTGCCAGTGTAAGTGTTATCATTGCTTTGGAACATGAAAATTAATGAGAAGCTTCCTCTTTATTTAGTGCTTGGATAGAAAAATGTACTTTTGCCTGTAGGCCCCCAAACAGAGGCTTAGGTTATGACTTGGGGTTCTTTTGTAATCTCCAGCTGCAAATGAAAGTGTGCTTTTGCTCTCTGAAACAGGAGCCTTGGGGACAAATCCGAAAACCCAATGGTGCAGCTCTTCTACGGGACTTTCCTGACTGAGGGGGTCCATGAGGGTGAGTTAAGGCGCTGGTAGATTGAACTTTTTAACTCCTTTGAGTGTTTTGGAGTTAACCAGAATTTTTGTTCTCTTGAGTTAGCTCATGGTTTCTGTATGGTTTCCATCATCCAGGCAACACTTTTTCCAAGATTGAGACCTTTGGTCAGTATCCCCTTCAGGTAAATGGTTACCGGAACTTGAATGAGTGCTTGGAAGGAGCCATGGTGGAGGGAGAGATGGATGAGGCAACAGCATCTCAGTCAGTGAAGTATGGACAGGAGGTTAGTTTGACCTTTTTTGTCGAGCCTTTGGTTGCCTGCTGCAGAAAAGTGCAGCACACACAGTGCAGGGCTACTCTGATGACTTTGAATGGCAGCTGTGAGTGTTCTCTAAGAATTGAATACAAAACATTTTCTGGATACCTGGAATCTCATGTAAATGTCTGTTAGTGTTAGGTGTTCAGACACTTAGTGTAGTTAGACACTAAGTCTTTGCTGATTTATAAAAATGTGACGTCCTATGTAACCAGTTCAGAGAGTTTATTTTAAATTGCAAAGGTCAATGTCTGCCTCTGAGTCAAGTCTCTCTCTTTCTGTTGAAGCCTACCTGTACCTGAGTAGGGGGAGACCTACTGCCTCCATATTTTCGGAGGGTAAAAGTACAGTGCTTAACTCCATGGTATGCCATTTGGAATTTGTCTCTTTCTCCCTATTATATTGTGTACGGTTTGGGGTTTTTCTTCTTGGTTTCACTCTTATTTTCTGACTGTGATGATTTCATTTCTTTTTTTTTTTTCATCTCACTAATCACAAACCAATCATAAAAAACTTAGTTGCAGCAAGGTGAAGAAGCACCATTGCATTCAGCATCCTCTATGTGTAAGTGCAGCAAAAGTTAGCTTGGAGAGAGGCTGGGAAACAACATTGGCAAAGGTATCTGGTGTAGGCAGGGCAGGGAAGAGTATTTCAGTTCTATGAGAGTGTCTGGAAATTGTGTTGCTGTGGTTTAGACTAGCAAAGGAGAAACAAAGTATTGAGCAGGGGAGCTCTGCTCTGACCCTGGACTTCAGTGTTTGTCCTGGGTTTTCCTGGTTTCTGCCTGAAGCAGCTCAGGTGCATTTACAGGGGATGTGGGTGTAGCTGGTGTTGGCTGGCACTGGGGACAAAGGCACCTTGGAGCTCATTAGGCAGGTTCGTTTCAATCCAAGCTGTTTTAGTTCCTCAAAATTCTTTCCCAAAATTAAGGGAAATTTGACCCATCATGGAGCTGTTTTAATTCTTCTGTCTGCACAGATAGGAGGAAAGGGCTCTGCCTTAATTTCTGAGAAGCCTTACTGGGAAAATTGTGCACCTTAGTTTCACTTCCTAGGATGCGGTGGCATGACAGGGGACATAGGGAATAAGGTGATTTTGTCTCTTGAGCACCTAGGCAAGTGTGCTGAAAGTCAAAGCAGCAGGGGAGTTAACAGAAACTTCTCCCAGACTATGGGAGCATAAATCATTCCTCCTTTGTGCTTATGGGCTGCTGCTTAGAAAGCTCTGGTGTGGGGCAGTTTTGTTGCTGCGGCACATCTGACATGAATTCCACAAAGGACAAGGAGCTTAGTGTGCTCACCCTGAATCCTGAGGGGAGCATGAAGTGGGTGGTGCCAAGCTAAAATAGGTAAAGGAAGTATCTGGCAGTGGATGCTGGAAGTTGTTGTGAATCCAGGAAGAGCAAGAGGAAGTGTAAATTCAACTGAGAATTTTTCTTTCAGCATAACTCTTTGAAGTAGTGTATGAAGCTACAGAAAGTAGTTGGGGGGTCTTCTCTGACTCCCCTAAATCAAGTAGTTTGCAAGTAGACTGAGAGAGAATAAGGATTCTGGTGCTGCAGGAGGACTCCTGGTTTGTTCATCACTGCATGTAATCTCCCTCAGAAAAGAACTCTCTTGGGGGCTCCTAGATGATGTGCAGATTGTGTGTAGCCTCAACTAATTTGTAAAATTCAGTGCTGGACTTAATAATCCATCAAGCTGGATGCATCAGGCAATGACAAGTAATCTTGAGAGCAATTATGAGGCTTTTTCACAGTAAAAATGTAAAATGGAAGCATAAATTACTAACTTGTAAAGTTTGGCTTTCTGACTAGTCACTCTGCAAACAAAACCTAATTCTGTGCTTAAAGACAGAGACTTTTAAATCAGTCTGAAATCATATAGGATCAGTCTGAAATGTGCCATTAGCAGTCATCTTAAAACATTTCCCTCTGGGGGCATTTCTGCTTTTGTTACAGCGCTGGTTTACAAAACTCCCACCAGTTCTGACCTTTGAACTCTCCCGATTTGAGTTCAATCAGTCACTAGGACAGCCAGAGAAAATTCACACCAAGCTAGAGTTTCCCCAGACTATGTATATGGACAGGTGAGTTGTCCTGTTGCACGGTATGTTTAAAGCTGTTGCTTTGCTATAAATAAAGAAATTAAAAAGGTTGTTTGGGTGAGCAAGAAAAGATTCTAAAATATTTTTGGAAGATGGTAGATGTTAGAAGTAAATAAATCTCACCTGGCAAACGGGGCTCTGTATTTCTGTTTAGGTACCTCTACTGCAATAAAGATCTTATTCAGATGAAAAGAGAGGAAATGAAGAGATTGAAGGAGAAAATGGTGACTCTGCAGCAGAAACTGGAAAGGTGAGTAGTCAGCTGGTTTTATTTTTATGCCCTCTGGAAGAGTGCAAATGTTTAATTTTAAATGAGCTTTCCAATAGTAGAGGAGCTTGTAGGGGAAGCAGAAACAGCAACGTGCTTGTTCTGAAACGTGTGGGAGGAGGAAGTGTATTTTTCAAAAACAAACCTGTCTCTTCAATTGTTTCTAAATTTAATGACACTATTATTAAGGAATTATTATTAAGGAATAAGTTCTTTCAAGAGCTGAGTTGACACTTTTCAGCTGCACTGGCAATGTAGGTGAGGAAGCCCAGTAGCACATTACAGAAAAAGTTGTTCTCTTGTCCCATGAGGTTTAAACCCATCTCGTTCCTTCCTTCATACAACACCTTGCGTTTTCCCCCAGGTACATGGAATATGGCTCTGGCCCAGCCCGCTTCCCACTGCCGGACATGCTGCAGTATGTGCTGGAGTTCATTGCCACAAAGCCAGCTGGGGCTGTTTGCTCTGCTCAGAGCTCCCAAACAACTCCCCTGCACTCCCAGGCCAAGCCTAATGTTTTGGACGTGCTTTCACAGCCAGACGGGTCAGTAAACAGAAATAAAAAGGATGCACAGGAGGGCGATTCACCTCCCAACTAAATGGTCCTGGGTGGCTTTCCAAATGTGTGTTATTTATCTGGGCGCTGGTGAACACAATACTGTAGTGTGCAAATGCTTGTGCAAGTAGTGGGTCACTGCTTTGCTGGTCATTTGGTTCTGTTGGTGTAAGTAAAACACTGCATCTTGTTCTGTTCTTTCTCCTTGTCCAAGAGCATCCCTATATTCCTTGCCTAAGCAGCAGTTAAGAACTAAATTATGTGCTCTTTTTGGTTAGACTACTCATTTTTTTTGCTTCATTGACCAGTAAATTACAGCAATATTGGATTATTATAACCCAGGCCAGCATGGTTGGTTTAACACTCTAAATTAAGCTGAGTAAACACACATGTTTTCTCAGTACCAATGGAAGGAATTTTTAGTATTGCTCATTGTGGATCTGTGCTTAGAGAGTTCCCTAAGAATTTTCCTTAGTATTCTTCCTATATTTTAGTTTGGACTGTGAAGGCTGTGAAGCACATTTCAATGTACTTGTTCTCTCTGCATTTTATGCTGCTCTGGAAAGGAAATCCTGCTCCAGCTCTGGAGTAATTTTTGTTTGGTTTATTTTGTATTCTTTTCCGAAACAAGAAAAACTAGAGAAAGATTAAAAAACCTGCCCACTACTCTTGGATTTTGCTCCACAGCATACAAGAAAGGACTGATGCTAGGACTGAAGATGAAGCTTTCTTTGTGGCCAATTCTTCACCACAGCAGAGCTCCGGTGTGGATCTCCAGCCTCCTGTTTCACCTGCGGAGCTGTCTGAGCGTCCAGCTCCTCACGTGGTCTCCAGGGAAGAGCTGAACCTGGTTCAGACGTGTCTGCAGCGATGGAGGAACGAGATCGAGCAGGACGTGCAAGGTTGGCCCCAAATGCATTTGTAGGGATTTTCCTCCTCGATGCCCACCTGGTTTCTCCTCTGTAGCTTTGCTGGATACAGCCTGAACTACAAATAATATTGTCCCTGTTTGAGCTCTGGTGTTGAGTCTATCTGATATTCTCTGCACGGCCTCAAATTCTTTGAAGTGAAAGGAGCTAGCATAGCCTGATGAGTAGTCATTAATTTTTATGCATTTCTCTCATGGTTGATGTTCTTGGCAGATCTGAAGGAATCTATTGCCAGAATCAACCTGTCCATCGAACAGATGTACTGTGACCCTCTCCTCCAGCAGGTAGGAAATGCAGCTTTCAGTGTGTAAATATTAACCTAGTATTGCTGATCCTCATTTTTGTTAGTAGACATTGGTTTAAATTGCCCCCTCCGCTGTATTTTTAAATTTCCAGTGATGAAGCAGAGAAAGATTTAGTTACAAAAATCTTGTTTCTTCTTTCCTTAAAAGTCAGTTTTCACCCAGTAAGAAATTGATCAAATTGCTGGACTCTTGTGCCGTGCTACACCTACAAACATTGCCAGTGTTGGTGTGGAGAGGTCAGGCAGAGTCAGTCCCTGGCTGCACCCCTGAGCGATGCCCTTGTCACTCTGCAGGTTCCCTATCGCTTGCACGCAGTCCTGGTCCATGAGGGGCAAGCAAATGCAGGGCACTACTGGGCCTTCATCTACGACCAGCCCCGTAAAAGATGGCTCAAGTACAATGACATCTCAGTGACAGAGTCGTCGTGGGAAGAGCTGGAGCGAGAGTCGTTTGGAGGCTTGAGGAATGCCAGTGCCTACTGCCTGATGTACATCAGTGACCAGGTGTCCCCTGTGGGTGCAGGTACACGGCCACAGCTGCTGGTCAATGACGTGTGTGTGTGTGTGTGTGCTGCTGTGTCTCTCTGGCCTGCATGATTGTTGTGTTCCTCAGCTCCTTCAGCACAGCTGTCTTTTGACAAAGCACAAAACTTCACCTCAGATAGGATTAAATAATCTGCTTCATGCTCGATTCATTTCTAAATACCTGGTAGGACTGAAAACTGCCAGGAGAAGCATCCAGGTGAGATTGGGAACAGCACCTCACGCGTGAATCATGTGTGTACAGGCTAACACTGCCCTTTTGCCACATTTAACATGCATCTAGTGCTTGTCTTCTTCATTTTGACTTTGTGTGGTGTTTATATGGCAGCATTTGTTTCCTCAGGGCATGTAAAACACCACCACTTTATCTCTCCCATTTTTATCATGCTTCCTGGCTCGTTTGCTTGGTCTTTGATGATTACACCTAATCTAAATGGGCTCTTTTTTGTGCAGCCTTTCCCCGAGAGGTGTTGGTACCTGAGTGGCTCAGACTTAGTGTGTTTGCCGTGCCAGTGCTTTGTGGAGAAATTGCTGTGCACGTGGCTCTAGACATGGCAAACAGCTGTACAAGGACACAATAATTTCACGCGTGGCTCATTTTGATATAATAAATGGAAAGAAACAATGGAGAGCTGACATTCTGTTCATTGCTAAATGTGGCTGATGAGGATCTGGAGGTTGTTCTTTGTTTTCTTATGACAGTTCTGAAACAAACCCATTTTTTTCTCCTATTTAATGCATTTTTTTGTTGTTTTTTAAAGCATTTTGCAAAGGGTGCATAAAAATATCTGCTGTAGAAAGTTGCCATTTGCTTTTGATAAATTTTAGGACTTGTCTGAAGCTGATGCTGCTTGGGTTTTGTGCTGTTTTACAAGTGAATACTGAAGTACACCTAAAAAGCACTAAGAAATATCAGCATGATACTTGTGCTATAGAACCCATGCAGCCCTTACCTTACCTGCTGTACAGTGATGAAGGTGTGTCATCTCTGGCTGAGCTGTGAACTTTCCAGCTGTTGGCAGTTCAGTGCTGTTCCCTGTGCACCTGGAGCCCTTGGGCCAGGATGTGTCTGACCTGCATCAGCAGATGCTGGCTCTGGAATTGCTCTGTGTAAATGCTGTCCAGTAGTAGAACAAAACAGGGGTTTGTTTTAGATAACTCTGTAGATTTGTCTTTATTTTTGCACCTTTGCTTCTGGATCACCTTAAATTACAGAGCCAGTAGAAAATTTGGCTTCTTTGCCCTTTTATCCCTCAGCCAATTTCCTGTGGCTGCCCGTGATGTTGTGCGTGTGTCCCTGAGGGTGGTGCCCTGCCACAGTGTGTTTCCTTATGCCAGTCTTGCATTTCCTCCAGATGAGGATGAGGGCCCAGAGGCTAGACAGCTCCAGAAGGAAGTGGAAGCTTTGTCCCCAGAACTGAGACACTACATCCAGGAGGACAACTGGCGCCTGGAGCAGGAGGCAGAGGAGTGGGACGAGGAGCAGTCTTGCAAGATTCCTCAGATGGAGCCTTCGCCTACTTCTGAATTGCAGGACCTCTCTTCTGAGTCAGGACCAGGTAATCTCGCTCTGAATTTGCAGACAGTGTCAGAACCAGGAACAGCCAGCTGGTCACCAGTACCACTGTGTGGAAGCCTTGCACAAATGTGTCAGAATGCAGGAGCAGGTGTGAAAGAGGCAGCAAAGGCAGCTGCTGGAGGCTCTACCCTGACAGTACAAAAGGCTGTTCTGCTGGTTTTGCATGTGCATCCTTCCATGCCTGTCCCCAGAAATGCGGTTTCCCATTCACTTAATCATCATGGGCTAATATCAGTTCATTTCCAGCTTTTTCTGTTTTTCACAAATATGGAGCGGACAAGTGCTGTTCTCTGGAGTGGGAACCCCTGATGCCGTGTGCCATTCCCGCTGGAACGGGGTATGCACACACTCACCTCAAGTGCCTTCACCTCGGGCAGGAAGGCAGCAGCTGTGTAAAACTGCATGGACAAGCTGCAAAGCATTTTTGAACGTGAGAGAAAAAAAAACCTTGCAGCTCTTGCTGACTAGCACCACACGTCTGTCCTGACAGAGCAATCCCCAGTGTGTGAGCCGAGCGTGCACTCCCTGTCCTCGGAGCATGCCAGGATCGCCAAGGAGCAGACTGCCAAGGCCATTGCCAACACTGCTGATGCCTACGAGAAGAACGGCGTCGAGGCAGCTCTGTGCGAGGTAGGAGCTCAGCCTTGGCCCAAGAACCTCCCCCTTCTTGTCTCCAGATTATTCTTCTTGATAGACCTTTGCTTTTCCCATTTCTGTGAAGTTCTGTAGCTGCGCCACGTTTAGCTCGGTCCCCTTTGGCTTTCCTGTTTTTGGCTTTGGATTTTCTTACTCACTCTCTTCTTTTTCTTCTTGGCCACAGCGCAAGGAGGTAGAGCCACTGAAGGCCCATCCAGAAGAAATATCCCCCACAGTTCAGGCAGAGCAGCCCCGGGACACTCAGGAAGCAGAGGCTGCTGCCCAAACTAGCTCACAGGTCTCTGAAGTGGAAATCCCCAGTGTGGGGAAGATTCCCGTTAGATCCGATGCAGATGGATATAATGAGGAGGTACAGATTCCGGTGCAGGGATTAATTAATTACTGCTGCTCGTTAGCCTGTAGCTTTGTAGTTAGCTGGCTTTGAGCTGCCCTAAGGGTGGGTGTCATAGTGTCTGTCATAGGAGCAACACCCTGTACAAAGTCAGTTTTCCTCCTGTGGAAGGGAAGGGGGACCACATCATTCCATAATTCCATTTTTAAATGTCGTCAGAAAAGGAGCTCCATAAGACCACTCAGTTTGTCAATCTGCATGTTGGTCATAATTCCTCTTTTTGGCACAACTGTATCAAAATTGATCCTACCTGTGTTAGTTTCTTTACAAGTCTCTCTGCTGTCTTCAGTTACTATTTTGTCCCCAGTCAAAGATTTTAATCCCAATAGCATAATTTACATACCCTGCCCACTGATTTTTTTGGGGTCTGACTTTAACCACTCTCATACGTGCTCAAGCAGTGTTTTGAAGTTCTCTCAATTGCATGAGTTGGATTTCACACAAACACTGGGGCTGTCACTCCTTGAGTAGGTTTGAGATGTTCTGGAGTGATCTTGGCTCAAGGAACTGCTGCACCACAGGTTCTGCATTTATTTTACATGTCTTAGGAAGATTGAGTGGGACATGGTGGGGACATGGCCAGCCTGCTTTACCTTCCCACTAGTTGAATTTAAAAATTCAAGGGTTTGGAGTGACCAGCCTTGAGATCTTTAAATGCCCAAAAAAAGCCCAGCATGTAAAGTGCATGTGATGGATAGAGTCAGTAGCATGCAAGTAACTCACAGCCCCAGTTATCACACCTGTACTCATACAATTTCCTTTAAATCTTATTTTTGAAAGTTTCTTCCATTCTTCACTGTGCTGTCTCTTCTTTCCCTGTCTGTTACTGTTTTCCTTGTTCCTGTTTGTGTCTGTTCTCCTGCTTTTGTGGTAGGTGATGCTGAGTCCAGCCATGCAAGGTGTCATCCTGGCTATTGCAAAAGCCCGCCAGACCTTTGATCGTGACGGGTCTGAAGCAGGGCTTGTTAAGGTATTGATTTGTTTGCTAAATCAAATAGTATGGATATCTGTTTTCCCAGAATAGAGTATGTGCCATATTGACAGGTCAGGAATGTAAAGGGAACGATTTGTGCACTTTTTCTTCTGGTTAATGGCCTTTGCCCTGCATTTTAGTTCCTGCGCTCTTACAGTGATGAGATATCCGTGGGTTCAAAACAATTTTTAGAGCTTGCAAGGGAACACCCTCCTGCCAAGACAAACAGAAACTTTACTTTTTTCTGCTTATTATTTTAGTACTGTAAAATTTGGTTTTTTCCTCCTGAACATACTTGCTTACTTGTGACCTCTGCTGTCAAAGATGTCAAGAAATGTCTGTGTGAACAGAGGTTCGAAAGCATAACCACTGGTGAATGCTGAAGCTGGTGTTAGATTTTACAGGCAGGTAAATTTAACTAAAAATACCACATGGACAGAATCATCCATGCTGTTAATCTATTGCATTATAAATCACAAGATACTCTTGCACCTCAGCAGGTAGAAGTGTGTCCCAGTCGATTTTGGCAGCCTGGGCACTTGTCAGAGGGTTGCCAAATGGGTCTAAGGCAGCTGTACCCTCTCTCAAAGGCTCTTACACACCCTGGCACTTTTGGAAGCTCGCATTTCACACGTGGGGTTTGCCTGGCTGTAGGGGCCGTTGGTTTAGAGCTGAGGTGTTGGTGGGCTTCTTTGAGCACTGGGATATCACCAGCAGAGGAGGCTCGGTGTCCCCACAGGAGTCCTTGCGAGCAGCACCGGTCTGAGCTGCTGTGGCATTCCCACGGGCACACGGGTGGATCTGTCAGTACCTGTGTTTCGTTGGCAGGCATTCCACGAGGAGTACTCCCGGCTGTACCTGCTTTCCAAAGAGACCCCGACCCCCCAGAACGACGCCCGCCTGCAGCACGTGCTCATCTACTTCCTGCAGAACAACGCTCCGCAGCAGGTGGTGGAACGGACCCTCCTCGAGCAGTTTGCAGACAAGAACCTCAGCTACGATGAACGGTGAGTGCTCAGGGTTCCAGGGAGGGCTTTTCCCACCTGGATGTGCCAAGGCCACTGTTGTGATTTTTCTCCTTTCTGCTCACATGGAGCAGGTCCATCAGCATCATGAAGGTGGCACGGGCAAAGCTGAGCGAAATCGGTCCTGACGATGTTGACATGGAGGAGTACAAGGTAAGGGACCAGAGAGCTGTCTGATCCTTCAAGCTGTCCTAGCTGGCTCTGTCCAAACTGGGAAATGAGGAGCACGGCATGGAGCTGCATGGCCAGCACAGTGGCCACTGAATGCCTGTTGGCAGAGGGTGTCTGCAGGGAGCTGCTGTGGGAGAAGGAATACAACGGAAATCTGAGCTTGGAGGAGTGTCTGCAGTTGGCTAAATTCATATGTGTCAGTCATGAGAGACATTTAAACACTTAAAAGGGTAGAATTGGGAACCCCAGACTGCATGTGGGTGTTCCAGCTGAGGCTGATGCTCTGTTTCCTCCTCTCCTCACAGAGATGGCACGAGGACTACAGCCTTTTCCGCAAGGTGTCCATTTACCTGCTGACGGGGTTGGAACTCTACCAGAATAGAAAGTAAGTTCCTCTAATTGTGTTTGGACAAGATAAGTTGTAGCTAAAAGTAAAGGCCACTGTGACAAAAATTTTTCTTTCTGAGCCACAATGGCCTGTGTTTGAGGCCAGTGGGAGATTTTTTGACCTGCTAATAGGTCTTCTTGAATCCACAATCGAGCTTGGTTAACAGTTTAAAAAATATGAGGCTGAGCTGCTGGCTGGCTGCCTGACAGTTCTGAGGCTTTCCCCTAGGATTTCCCTTTGGGAAGTAGAGCTTTATATTCTGTTTTCCGGAGATGAATTTGCAGGAATGATTGCCATCACTTTGGGATTTTTCACCTTGGACTCCTGTATTAAAAGGAAAGTGCCTTTAGATGGATTTACACTTTGTGCAAACACATAGTTTGGAGCTCTCAAAGGGCCTTGGTTTCCTCCTTACCATTCTAGAACCTGTATTTTCCTTCAGTGGTGTAGGCTTTCAGAAATTATTCCTGGATGGAAACAGAACTGAATTCCAAGGTGGTTCACAGTGACAAGCCACCAAATTCAGGTGGGCAAATTGACATGAGACATGACAAGAGCAGTTTAGAATTACCCCAAATTGACCTAATCCCTGTCAGCAGTTCTATTTTCTTATCTGAAGCTTGAAATGTGTGAGGGACTGAAATACACAGCCTTCTGCCCTTCTTGGGGTGTCCTCTCATAGTTCCTGCAGTTCCTGGAGCAGCACAGAAAACAAACACAGAAACAAGCACATTGCACATAAACTTGGTTTTAAGGGGCTCTGCCCAGACACTTGTTTGGCATTCTGGGCAAAAAGGAGCAGGAATGGCTTGACATGGGGCATCTGTTCTTTTGTGCTTTGGCAAGGAAATACAGCTTTTCCCATCGAGCCCGAATCTTCCAGCCGGGCCCAGCAGGAAAGGTTTCCTGAGCTGAGCCAAGGGAAAGGCTGTAGTCACGGCCCTGGCAGAGCCCAAAGCCTGCAGAGCTGACCCTCTTCTTGCAGGTACCAAGAGTCACTCACCTACCTGGTCTACGCCTACCAAAGCAACACCAAACTGCTGCTGAAGGGAACCAACCGCGGCGTGAGCGAGTCGCTGATCGCCTTGTACCGCAGGAAATGTCTCCTGGTTCGTATCCAGGAGCTCAGCACTCACTCTGGAGAGGAGGGGAGGGAGCAGCCGGGGCACCATGGCAGCCAAGACCAGTGTAACTGTTTCTGTTATGTCTATTAATGTGATTCTGCCCCTTGCTGAGTGCCAGCAGCAATATGGAAAGCTAATAATGGTCATGATTCAATTAAAGAACATGCCACATAGGTTTCAGGGAATCTAGGCAAAGGCACATCTGGTTCTTGCCATCTTCAAACCAGAACTGTAAATAAGCTGTGTGCTCTCTGTATACAGATACAGCAAATTGCATGCATGTGTATGAATATATATGTTTTCAAGTCTGTTTTCTATGGTGTGTTTCCCATGCCTGAAAGTGGCTGTTCCACCAGCACCTGGTGCTGTTAGTCCTTATTCTCTGCATGGCTGCCAGTGCAGAGCCCAAGCTGGGCCTTTCCTGGATGGTTATCCATGGTCCATGCTTGTTCTTTACAAGTCTGTCCCCAATTCTCCTTCCACCCCCAGAAGCTGAACGAGGTGGCAGCTTCTCTTTTTGTCAGCTGTGAAGAAGCTCATGTGTCAGAGGGTGTAAGCATCCTGAATGAGCTGATCATCCCCTGCATGCATCTCATGAACAACTTTGAGATCTCCAAAGAGGACCTGGATGCCATCGAGGTCATGAGGAACCGCTGGTGCTCCTATTTGGGACGAGAAGACATGGACGGTAGGACATGGCTGCTCTTCATGGGCAGGCAGTATCTGGATCTGAACTGGGAAGGAATTAAAGACCATCTGAAATTAAATTCTTGGTGTCTGCGCTGCAGCCCATCAAGGCCCTTCTAATTGTGGGAGGAGAAATGCATTTGAATGACCCATTAAATCCTGTTATAGAAGAAATTAATCTTTTGCACTAAAGCTGCAGAAGTGTACCTCATCCCTAAAATGGGCCAGTTGGTGTCCTAAGAATGGCTTAGAGTTCCCTTGAGGGGCTTGGGTCTTCTGTCAGGGCTTCTGCCTGACTGGAGGTACCCAGGAATGGCAGGTGAATGCAGACATGCTTGGTGGCATGGCATGCTCCTCTTCAGGAGGGAGGAACAGGTGTTATCAGAGGCCAAGGTTATGGAAGATGGAATGGGGGAGCAGATTTGGGGCATCTCTGCCTTCTGAAGAGGAGTTTGTCATTGTAGAGCTAAATGTTGGTTCTGGGCAGCTGTTCTTGTTCTGTGTTTTGTTCTGGAGTCAGCCTCTGTGACTCCCCTCAGGTCATTTCTCTTCAGACAAATTGGTCCTGACTTGCCTTGACATGTGCGTGAAGGTCTGAGGAGTCCCTGCAGAGTTCTTACCACTAACAGGGGGTAAACTTGATGAAAGAAAATTATGCAAAACCACAGAGGTTTATTCTCAAAATACGGTTGTAAAAATTAATATTGGATACATTTATCCCAGTTGCTGGGCTGGATGTGACAGCCTTTGCTTACAGAGAAGGTTTTAAAGAACCAGAAGCTGCTCACCCCTCCCATGTCACGTGGGCTGGCTGAGGTGTTGCCTGCTCCTCTTCCCCCGTGGGAGCCGTGGTGTGTCGTGGGGGCCGTGGTGTGTCGTGGGGGCCGTGGTGTGTCGTGGGGGCCGTGGTGTATCACTGGGGCCGTGGTGTATCATTGGGGGCCGTGGTGTGTCGTGGGGGCCGTGGTGTATCATTGGGGCCGTGGTGTGTCGTGGGGGCCGTGGTGTGTCATTGGGGGCCGTGGTGTATCATTGGGGGCTGTGGTGTATCATTGGGGGCCGTGGTGTGTCGTGGGGGCCGTGGTGTATCATTGGGGGCCGTGGTGTGTCGTGGGGGCCGTGGTGTATCATTGGGGGCCGTGGTATATCATTGGGGGCTGTGGTGTGTCGTGGGGGCTGTGGTGTATCATTGGGGCCGTGGTGTGTCGTGGGGGCCGTGGTGTATCATTGGGGGCTGTGGTATATCATTGGGGGCCGTGGAGTGTCGTGGGGGCCGTGGTGTGTCATTGGGGCCGTGGTGTGTCGTGGGGGCCGTGGTGTATTGTGCACTCCAGGGACCTCAGCCCTGCCCTGGGAGTGGACGGTGCCAGCTCAGCACAGGCTGAACTGGCCTGTCTGGGGGGGGTACAGGATGCGGAGGCTCCATTGCCCTCAGTTGCACAGTCAATATTTGGGTGTCGCCCTGAAGCACGCAGTGGTTCTGCACTGACAGCCGGGACAGGAGCACCTTTGCAGGGAAAGCTCCGTGTCTCGTGTCTCAGTGGGACACGGCCTGCGCTCAGGCAGCCAGGTGGCAGTGGAGCCTCCCTCACAGGGCCCTGGGATTCAAGCAGGACTGCCCGGTGCGGGGCCTCCTCTGCCTCAGCAGCCACTGCTGATCCCTGGTGATGGGCTGGGCGGCTCTCAGCACAGGGAGAGGAGCCTGCAAAAGGCACCACAGCTCCTTAACCCGGGGCTGGAGCCCTCTGCCGTTGCTGCCACTGACCGTGTCCTTCTTTCCCCTTGACAGCAAAGCTGCAGATGAAGCTGGGTGAGCTGCTGCCCCGGCTCCTGGACGGCTCCACCGAGGTCATTGTGCTGAAGGAGCCCCCGAAGATCCGGCCTAACTCCCCCTACGACCTGTGCAGCCGCTTTGCGGCCGTCATGGAGTCCATCCACGGCGCCTCGGCCGTGGCCGTGCAGTAACCGCGGGCGGGCGCGCCGGGGCTGCAGCGGGAGCAGAGGGGCCCTTGGGATTCCAAGCTGTGTTCTTTGTAAATACGAGCGGATAAAAAGCAGTATTGCACTTGTGAGGCAGAACGTAAGGCGGTAACACGAAGGACCTGGACCACTGTTACAGTGCGAGGCGCAGCAGCGCCGTGGGGCCCAGCTGGGCTCCAGAGGCTCCTCTGTCCTGGCAGCCCTCTAGCTGCAGCCCCTGGGCCACAGGAGCCCAGCTCTGTCAGCGCCGGGGCTGCACCTCCACAGCTCCCTGAACGGCCACTGCCAGAGGCTGCGTGTTCCAGTCCAGCCACGCTCCTGCTCGCAGGAGCCCGGGCTGAGTGAGGAGGAGGCAGCAAGGAGCAGTGCCTCGTGCTCTGCAGCGTGGGCAGTCATGCACGCAGCTCTGTGTGGTGGTCAAGTCAAGCAGGCTTTTGCCTTTTGTATTCCAGCTGGCACCAGAAACCACGCAGGAGCCTTCCTTGAAGAGACAGGCAAATCCTGGCAGTGAGGAGCCAGGACGGGGCTGTGGGTTTGTGCCTGGCAGGAGCCGACTGGCTCAGGGCAGTCACATCACCCCAAAGGATATTCCCCTTGTGGCCGGAAAGCAAACTTCCTTCTCCCCTCGGGTGGTGGGTCAGGGCTGGATTACTGTCAATGGCAACTTGAGGGCTCAGATCAGCCCCTTGTGTTGGTGGTGGGCGTTTGTGTTGACTTTGTTAACAGAGTGCCCCGTTGGCATTTCCTTTTGCGGTCACCCTGTGCTTGCCTTTGAGCTGCAGCAGTTGTAAGCCAAAAGTTCTGAGTCAGTGGAGGGGGATCCTGTTTTTTGGAACTATGCAGAGTTTTCTAACAGTGCAATAAAAGCATTTGTTCTATGTTAGAATGAAAAAGCTCCTTCCATGTCTTTATTCCACTCTAGGGTTCTGCCTGAAGGTTCCCTCTGTACAAAATGTGTTGTCATTAGCAGAGCTGCCTTAAAGGTGGTTCCACCATCCTGTCGGGGGGTGTTTCCGCAGTATTTAGGAATAAAATGCTCATGTGGGAGAATCTTGCACTCTCCTGGTGACTTCATGATGAGGTAGAACTGCTTTTATCCACAGGTAGTCTGGCTGCCAGTGTCCCAGCAGTGACCCGTGCCTCCTCAGGGACCAGGGTGCTGCAGTGCCAGTGCTGCTCTTGCAGCTTGTTCCCCCATTGTTGTGACAGAGCAGTGGGATGAGGCCTTCAACTTACTGCTCAGGGTGCTTGGCCTTCAATGAATGGGAAGGTGGAGCTCTTGAACAGAGCCCCCAGGCCATCACCCACCCAGAGGCATGCTGCCTCCTCCCAGGCAACACTTGGCATTGCCAGGCAGTTTTTGTGCACTTGCAGGCAGTAGGATGTTGTTTGGGAAGAGGAGAGCCTGTTTGTTCTGACTCGTGAAACAGTGGCTTTGCCCTGTTCTTTGTGTTGCTGCCAGAAGCTGAAATGCCCAGCCCATGCCCACAGCCTGTTTTAAGGAACCAACAAAGAGTGTCAGGAGTGGTGCTGGGGACGTCATGGTATTTGGACTGAGCTGGACAGGAGGAGCGTTCCCAGGCTGAAAACCTTTGCTCACTGTCCTGTTCTCCCATTTCTCAAGGGAGTTAGAGCCAAAACAGCCTCTGTGCTCCCTGGGTTGGTCAGCCCTCCTAGGGAGCTGGCAGGGGGTGCAGCTCCTTGGGAGGTGATGGCCAGGAACAGTGCCCCTCAGTTCTACCTTGTTTGATTCTCTTTCAGAAGGACTGAGCACCTGCCTCTTCCACTTCACTCTCAGCAGCACCAGCTCTGTCCCCAGTCCTGCAGCACCAGAACTGCCTGGGATCATCGCTGTTCCCTTTCCTTGCCCATCTGCTCCTTCCTCCCCTCCAGCTGAGCAAAGTGCAGGTTTCAAAATGGGACTTAGAGCGAGTGGACTTTGCTTTCCCCAGGGCTGGGCCTGCCTTGAGGTGGGTCACGCGCCCACGGCTCTGAGCTGCAGGGATTAAACCAGCGCTGAACTCCGTGTCCAACCAGCGCCGCAGCAGCGGCCGGCCCCTGTCAGGACTCCGGGTGCTAATCCAGCCTGATGGTCCATGCTCTTGCTCACAGAGGTGTGTAATCAGCCTTGATTTTTACAGCTGAATCAGGAAAATGTGGAAGGAACAGTTCAGACCAGCAAAAACCCTTTCTTGCCTCTTGTGCACAGGTAAAAGATGCAGTCAAGGAACTTTTGACACAAAGGTCTGTGGCTTATCGGCTTTATCATCTTAGCCATGAGAAGATGAGGCTCCTTCAGGGCACACGGTCACTGCCATCCCACCTTTGCAACAGGAGTAGAACTTGGTGCTGCCTTGTCTCATTTTCCTCCTTCCCCTTTGTTTTCTATTTTTCTCTCTTTTCCTTCAATCTTTTCTGGACTAACCAAGCCATGGCTGCAGCAGCAGTGCTGCCCATTGCTGCTCCCACCCTGCATCCCACCTCTCCAAGGTACAGCTGCACGTTCAGAGCACAGACACACTGCCAACGGACACGATAATTTATTGCAAATATTTCAGAGCAACACAGACAGGCAAGGAAAGAGCTGCTGCACTGGGACACAGCATTAGCCACGACAGACTCGGCTATGGGGGCTTCGCCAGAGATGCCAACACAGTGTCACCCATCAGCGATGGTACCATGGTGTCACCAACAGTACAAAGCGCTGCCCGCTGCTTGTTGCCTTCCCATTCTTGCTTGGTGAGTGCTGCAGGGAAATCTGCTGCTCCTTAACAGAGAAAAGGTGAAGCAGATGCACAGAGGAAGGAGAGAAACCTGCAGAGCTGCCGTAGCAATTAGCAAATCATCCTGTGAAACAAGCAGGAGCCCTCCCTGCCAGGGGAAGAGCCCACGAGGCGCACAGGGCACAGCACCTGAGGCCCTAGATGACCAAGTCTGCGTTTTTGGGGTGCAGGTGGTGGCCCCTGGGCAGCCCTGGCGCGGCGGGGCCCCGGCGGCCGGCGGGGGCCAGCGGCGTGCCGGTGCCCGGGGCGCGGGCGCTGCAGGCCAGGAGCAGTCCTCCGGCGGCCAGGAAGGCTCCGGCGAACCAGCCCAGGAAGGTGGCCTCCCCAAACTCCCACCTGGGCACGATGTCGGGGACGGTCTCGTCCCAGAAGTCGAGGACGGTGTTGTAGGCGACCCAGGAGACCGGCACCAGGGTGGCGATCCCTGCCAGGCCCAGCGTCGCTCCCCCGCCGAGCAGGAGCCGCCGCTTTCGCCCGGGTTTGTCCTCGCAGGTTCTCCAGCCCTCCAGCCCCAGGGCGGCCAGGAGGCAGCCCAGCAGCCCCAGCCCGTTGGAGAGGCACATCAGGAGGCGAGAGACGCGCAGCTCGGGGGGCAGCGCCAGGAAGGAGCCGTGGGCCTGGCATTCAACCACCCCCTCCTCCTGGGTGATGCAGACCTGCCAGAGCCCCATGTTCCAGACCTCCATCTCGTTCAGGTCCAGGTTGAGGTTCTTCCAGAGCGGCACGAAGGTGGTGACGCAGGAGCTGATCCACCCGAGGAGAGCCAGGAGCATCCCCCCGCCCTGCGCCTTTGCCCCCCAGCCCCCGGCCATGCCGCCGCCGCCCCGCTAAGCCCGGGCCCGGATCAGCCGCCCCGAGCGGCGGCCGCGGGCATTAACGCTTGCGGAGCAGCGTCCGCCCGGCCGCCGGCCGCGTCTGCCGCCCGGGGGGGCGAATTCAAGCCTGTTCCTCCAACGCCGGGGTGTGGCCACGGTCGTTTTTCAGCTGCTGTTGGTTTTTCCACGCTAAAAGGAGAGCCCGGCTCAGCAGGAAAAGCCGGGTGCATCCCCGCGGTAGCTCCGGGCTGGGTCCCGCCGCTGCCTCGCCGTGCCCAAGAGGGTTAAGCCAAAGCACGCAAATCCTCCGAGCCTCGGCCACCCCGGAGCGAGAGCCTTGGCAGGGACAGCGATTCTCGGCTGCAGCAGCTCCAGCCTCGGTGGGACACGGCTGGCACCGTAGCGCAAGATGCAAGGCAGCAGAGAGGTAGAAAAGCATCGGGCTTTTCGCAGGAGTCGGTGGCCCCGATCCTCATTAGCCCGTTAATTAAATATGCAAAGGAGCCTTTGAGAGCTGCGTTGAGAATGGGGATGTTCAAGGGAGGGCGCAGGTTTCAGATGGGCCCTTCTCACAGGTGGGCATTGATCGCCCTGTCCTGCACGCAGCAGATGAGACTCGTGGTGTTGTGTTGTCCTGATAGGAGACACCCTGACGCAAGCACACAGCTGGGGAAAGCCCATGGACATCAGCTTGGTCCGGTGGAAGGTGTTCCTGTGGCAGGGGGCTGGAGCTGGACTGGTCTTTAAGACCCTCTCCAACCCAAACCGTTCTGGGATTCTATGAAAAGGATGAAAAGAAGCATCAGGAAAATCCCAAGTTTGTGCTGGCACTCGGCCCCCATCCTCCCCCACGTGCACTGCCTCCGCGGGGTCCAGCTTGCAGATTCATCTTCCCTGGGAGATTAGCGACTAATCTCCCCTTCATCCGCCGTCTTTCTTATCTCTATCGGGAGCCAGACTGGAAATTACTGCGTCCTGCTGGTCGCGGGGTCCAGCCCTGGTGAGTGCCGGGAGGGTCTTTGCAGGGGGCTCCCACAAGGAGGGGGCGAGAGAGCGCGGACCACGTTCAACAGAGAAGCGCAGACCAGGCAGGAGAGAGGGGGTGTTTTCCAGCCCTTGCTGACCATCCCGCTCCTCAGAGCAGACAGGGAGCATCATCCCGAGGGCAAGAGCAGGGAAATCCGCTGGGAAACCCCTCCTGCTCCTTCCCCCAGGCATTGGGGCACCTGCTTCTTCCGATTAAATCGTTTCAAGGTAATTGTGCCTGTCATTGAGACAGATTAACGGGTGACCTTCTGCCGCTGGAGCAGGATTGGCGGCCGCCGCCGAGCTCCCGGTCCTTCTTTCCCTCCCACCGGCCGCGGTGGCACGGCCGGGCCGAGGATTCCCGTCCGCAACCGGGGGGAAGATGCCCGGCGGTGGCCGGGGCGCCGCGGGAGCCACGAGCCGAGAAGGACGCGCGCCGGGCCGGCAGCCGCTCTGCCTGGACATGAGGTGGGTGTCCCCTGGACATGAGGTGGGTGTCCCCCGGGGTTGCTCCGGACACTGACACCCTCCGCCGCCGCGCTGAGGAGCGTTGGTGCCGCTGCTCTGCAGTGGCAGGGGGTGCTCGAGGGAGGCAGAGCGCC